AGGCAGTTAGTTCTGCTTTGGGAGTCATGCAATTTCAATACTGTTATTTATTCTTTGCGTTCTCCTTCTTCTGCCCCTCCCTCAAAAGTAGATTCAAGAAAAAGCTGCTTTCAGAATTTCTATTCAAGTAAGAATAACTGCACCTCTCTTTGTTAAGTCTTAAGTTTCTAAGAGCCTTAGAAATGGCTGCTGTCTTCTATTATTTCCTTTATTGGACTCTATTTTTTTTTCTTATTTCAACTTTTATTTTAGATTCACATGGTACATGTGCAGGTTTGTTACACAGGTATACTGTGCAGGGTTTGGAGTACCATTGAACCCGTCACGCTAGTAATGAGCGTAGTGCCCAATAGGTAGTTTTACTACCTTTGCCTTCCTCCCTCCCTCCTCTGTAGTCTCCAGTGTCTATTTTTTCCATCTTTGTTGGACTCTACTGTGGAAGACCATGCAAATGGAAGACGTTTATGGTATTTGTATTCTATTTCATTTTTTATCATGAGTAATTAGGAATTTGTCTACTGTAGTAGTTTCAGTTGATATAAACCTGTTGTCAAAATTCTATTTCATAATGCCAAAATAAATCCTTGCTTTATTATAATATTACAACACTTTTAAAAAAATACTAAAACAGTATAAAGTGAGTACTTGTTTATAACGTGGAGTGGTGATTATTTACTTCAGAAAGGCACTTTTCAGTTTACTAAAGTTCTCCTTTAAGATTGATGCCCGCCCTGTTTGTTTTAATACATAAATTAGAAAATTTTGAGCGAGTATCCTGATAGAACCCTACAATTACACAAAGTGAGATACTTCAATAAATGACTAAGTTTAGTTGTCTGAAGAACAGTTAAAAGCTTCTTTGGTTTGGATTGATAGTAGCTGACTGTTTCTTAACCTTCCTACTGGTTGTCATTAGAAAAAAAACAAAAAACAATAATAGATGTTATACTGGGCAGAGTGGGGGATCAGAATCTGTGATAATTGGCAATCAGTGTCAACTTATTTTGTCTATATTCCAAGACTCTTTGTACCTCATAGCCTTATTAAAAAAAATGTTTAAAAAATGTGGCCTAACAGTGAAGAGTAGCACTTGCTTCTCAAAAGTTTAGAAATGAAAACAAGTATGTTGGCCTTTGCAGTGGATTTCTTTTTTTATTTTTATTTTTATTGATATATCATAATTGTATGTATTTATAGGGAACACGTGATATTTTGATACATGCATACAATGTGTGATGATCAAATTAGGGTAATTAGGATATCCATCACTGCAAACATTTGTCATTTATTTGTGTTGTGAACATTCCAAATATTCTAGTTGTTTTTTCTAGCTATACAACAAATTATATTGGTAACTGTAGTCACACTATTGTGCAATTGAACAGTGGATCTTATTTCTTCTATCTAACTGTATTTTTGTACCCATTAACCAACCTCTTCATTCGTCTTTTCCCCCTACCCTTCTCAGCCTCTGGTAACCACCATTCTACACTATATCCATGGGATCAACTTTTTTAGCTCCCACATGAGTGAGAAAGTGTGATAGATATGTCTTTTGTCTTTCTGTGTTACGTCTTCATTCACTTAAAATAATGTCCTCCAGGCTCACCTATGTTGTCACAAATAACACCATTTCATTATTTTTATGGCTGAATAATATTTCCTATTCATTCATCCATTGATGGACACTTAGCCACATATCATAGCTATTTTGAATCGTTCTTTAATAAACATGGGAGTGCAGATATTTCTTTGATATACTGATATCCTTTCTTTTGAATCTATACCCAAAAGTGAGATTGCAAAATCACGTGGTAGTTCTATTTTTGTTTTTTGAGGAACCTCTATGCTGTTTTCCATGGCAGCTCTAGATCATGCGTTCTATTTCTGTTTTTTGGAGAAACCTCTGTGCTGTTTTCCATAGCAGCTATACTAATTTACATTCCCAGCAAAAGTGTACTAGTATTCCACTTTCTCAGTGTCCTTACCAGCATTTGTTATCTTTTTGGTAATAGCCATTTTAATTGGAGTGAGATGTTGTCTCATTGTGGGTTTGATTTGCATTTCCCTGATGGTTAGTGATGCTGAACATTTTTTCTTATACCTGTTTGCAATTTGTATGCCTTCTTTGGTGAAATCTTTATTGAAATCATTTGCCATTTAAAAAAATTGGATTATTTGTTTTTGGTGTTTTGTTTTGCTGCTGACTTCCTTATATGTTCCGCATATTAATACCTTGTCAGATGGATAATTTGAAAATATTTCCTCCCATTTTTAGATTTCTCTTCACTTTATTGGTTGTTTCTTTGCTGTGCAGAAGCTTTTTAGCTTAATATAGTTCCATTTATCTATTTTTACTTTCATTGCCTTTTTTTGAGGTTTTACTCAAAAAATCTTTGCCCAGGCCAATGTAATGGACTTCTTGATAGTAACCATAATAATGATTGCCAGTAGAAACCCTTAACTATGTCAGATACTATCTCATTTTTTAAACTAATCCTTTGAATTAAGTACGATGATTATCTCTATTTTTCAGAGAAGGAAATACAGTATACAGGTTCAAAGAATAAACAACTTTTTTAAGGTTACACAGTTAGTAAACCATGGAGCTTGAATCTAAGCAAGATGTTTGAGTCCAAAGAATATGTACTCAACCACCAAGAAATGCATCCTCCCAGTGATTAATGGCAACTAGTAGGCGTGAGGAGATAAATTTGAACATGAGGTGACAGGTAGGGGAAGAAGTATGTCGTGTAAGTGGAAAAAGAGTTGCCTGGGCATGTGCATATAGGGGAATAGAGGAATGAGCAGCTATTTCCCATAAATGGGATATTATGTCTAATAGGGAATGTCAGTAAGTAGGATAAGTGACTAATCACCCAAGGCCAAGAAGATAGAGAAAACCTACATATTAGGAAAGCCTAAACTGGTCTGGTATAGGTCAAGGTATAAAATTCAAGTCTTAATACTGTTTAGTTTGATCGGAACCATTTAACAAGAGTGCAGCTTCCAAGTTGTCTGTCTATATGAAATGATTTCTGTTTGTTCAGAATTGTTTATGCATGTCTTAGCTCACTGTGACACAGAGGTATATGCCATGTTTTGTTTCTTGAGATTGTAATGCCTTGTAAATTTACATTTAATGGAAAATGAATAGTAATCCCAAAGCCCATATAACTTAATAAATTGCAATAACTTTTTAGCAAAAATCAAAATTGGCCTAGAATGAGAATTGCTGGGAGAATTTTAACCGGTTTGGGAGTTTTTTCCCCATACTTATTTCCCCAAGACCCATAATGATCTCCATTTCATGGCATCTATGTATTCTATATGTGCTTTGGTGTAGGAATTTTAAGATTGTGGGAAATAGATGATTTCTTAGGGTTTTATCTGTGAAGCAAATTTTGAAATTGATATATTTTATATAAATGATAAAACAGGAGCCAGTTGTAGCTTGGATTGTCCATAAATTAAATATACATAGTTTTTCACTATGGTTGTACTCTGCACAATTTATAACAACAGAAAAAACAACATTCTTGATTGTGTAATCATTAGTCACTATTCACAGTATTTTCTTCATCTGGATAATGTAGAAGAGCAAGACACAGTTCTTCATTATGTGGTTCTCAAATAATTATATCTTAGGTGCAGAATGTTTTGCTGCTCTGTCTCAGTACTTATACATTGAACATTGATTTCGTGGATGCAAGGGTTTCTGTCGTATCTTTCAAAGTTTGTTTGAATGTTGTTTAAAGGTGTTCATAGAAGGTGTTCACTTAGAAGACCAAAATTAGAGACTGTTCACCAAATGACTTGTACATGGCTTTTGGAGGTTCCTAACGGTGGAAAGTGTCAGCTTTCACATGGCAAATGCAGAGACTCAAGATCAATGCTTTCAAATTGATGCTTAGTATTTGATGGCTGATTCCCTAAATTTCACAGAAACAATGGCAAAGCCATTGGGAAAATTTGGCCCAAAAAGGGGCTTGGGTATCAGTGATGGTGATTCTTTGGCATTTAAAAAGATGCTTAAATGTTGAACGGTTGTAGAGAAGAATATACTGTGAAAGTTTAGTAAAGATTCATTATCTGGTAGAAGAGAAAGAGAAAATGGATTTATCTCTAGCACAAAGATGAGATACTTTCTCGAGGAAGGGTTTTGGTCAATAAATGTTAAGCTCAACCCTCCACCGAAGTTGGCCTAAGGAAAAAAATAAAATAAAACCTCAAGTACCAATCAGATTGAATGTTCTCTGTAGCTAATCTTTAAAATATTTTCTGAAATATATATTGTTCCATTAACCATGTATAATTTACAAAAACATTTCCTACTTTAATGGAATTATCAAGTTGAATTTTGTATTCCGTCTCTTACTAATAAAAGGAAACAGATTAAGAGAGAAGCTGTTGGTTAACTATCTGACCATCTGTTTGTTTTCAGATCTACTTTGCAGCCCACAAGGAGGCCTTTTAAACCCAGCCCTTAATTACTTTCTTCAGTCCAGACCAAGATTAAACAAAAGTACATTTAGAGAGACAGGGCAGTTTATTTTTGTTAATATGAGAGACAAAGCTGACTTTTTACACTTGGCCAGCAGAGAAGAATTTTAAGCAAGAGGATTTTTTTCTAGCTGAGGTCTTGCATGTTGGTTTTATTCGCTTGTGTGAAATCTTACAGACTGTCAGAACGTCAGGCAAAATTTTCAATTATAAGTTTAAAAATATCATAACAAATTCAAAGACTGTATAAAGTATTCAATGACAGTAGTTTTTTTGTTGTTGTTGTATTGCCCTTTCGTTAGCATAACTAAGATTTTTTTTTTTTTTTTTAGGATGGAGTCTTACTCTGTCACCCAAACTGTGGTGTGGTGATGTGATCTTGGCTCACTGCAACCTCTGCCTTTCAGGCTCAAGCGATCCTACTGCTTCAGCCTCTCGAGTAGCTGGGACCACAGACATGTGCCACCAAGTCTGGCTAACTTTTGTATTTTTGGTAGAGACAGGGTTTCACCATGTTGCTCAGGTTGGTCACGAACTCTTGAGCTAAAGCGATCTGCCCTCCTCGACCTTCCAAAGTGCTGAGATTACGCGTGTGAGCCACCGCACTCAGCCGCTAAGATTTGACTTTAGTAGTAGTAAAGACAACACTTACTTATGCATTGTATATGTCTGGCAAGGTGCCCAGGGCTTCACCTACATTATTTTATTTAATTGATCTTTACAATAACATTTTAACATAGTTATTACTATGTTAAAATATTCACAGATTAAAATTCATTTTATGTAATTGGAGGGGGTATCTCTAAGATCCAAAACATAGGTACATTGCTCAAGATCAAAGAGATAGAAATGGCAGAGCTGTGATTAGAGCCTTGGTGTTCAGATTTCAGAACCCACTCCTAAAGACTGCATTATTTACATATCCTCTGTATATAGGTATTGAATAGAAATTACCAGTAATACATAAAAATCCTGTTATATGATTTGGAAATAAATTACCATTTAAGAGGGGATGATGTCCAAGTAGGCAAATGTGTCCTCATTCATATCCATACTCGAGAGTGAGGTGAAGTTGGCATTGGTAGGCAGGCTGGGTGTAGGGAGGATAGTAGCACCATGCTTTTTTATAATTTAGTTCTTTTTTTTAATCAAATGAGTTAATTGAGGACACACTTAAAAATAATATTTGTCTGTACTGTCTTATGCTGGCCTGTGTTACATATTGAATTTTTATGACTGATTCTCTTCCATGTTATGTGGCTATAGACCAACATAATTAAAAGGTGGTTTTTATGATTCTGTAAATCTAAATTAACCAGGGAGGCAGTACTGCTATAACTTGTAAACTATGGTTTTAGACTCTCGTCCTAGAGTTCTGGCCATTTAGCTTAGCCCTTTTTGGAAATGAGACCCTATTCTAGGGTTCGGGTTGAGCCAAGCCTTTCTGCTTGGGGGCTTTCCAAAAATGAGTCAAGACAAATAAAATTTCCCCTTTCAAAGACACCAGAAAATATTCATCTTAAGTAACATTTAATACATGAGAAAATTTTGTCTGTTTTGCCATCATCTTTCAGCCAGTTGTTTCATTATAAGTGCAGCATATTTTTCTGTTAAAATGATGAGTAAATATATATTTAATAGTAGTTGTATGATACTGGAGACCATTCTCTTCAGTATGTTATATCAAATTTGATTTAGAAGAAAGACAAGCATAGACAATTACTTAATTTATTAAACATATGATGAATCATCTTACTTTAATTGCTCATGCAAATTGTCAGCTTTAGTGGATAATAATACTAAGAACTGTAATTCATTGAGTGCTTACAGTATGTCAGGCACACCAGTAAGAACTTTATATGTATTATTTCATTTTTCTGACAACTCAATGAAGCCAGTACCCTTATGATCTCTGTTTTTAAGAAGAGGGGCTCGGAGAACTAACAAGGTCACAGAGCTGGCAAAGCACCCCCCAGGTCTGTCTGATTCCAGGGCCCATGATCTTAAGCCCTATGCTATTCTGCCTACTGGTTGATATTCACTAATTACCCACTCTGAATGCAGCTCTGAAACTGATTTACAAGTCATTGTAATACTTCTTTTCTGATGAACTTGAAAAACCATGAAAAATACTTCTTAATTAATTGGACTATAGCAATACTTGGTCTATAGAAATACTGAGGATAATTCTGGTGATCTTTTACATTAAGTGGAGAACTTGAGTTTATCAGAGGAGAAAATCAAAGTTATAAATGCTGAGTATACACTTTTAGTTAGAATGCAGAACATATACCTTTATCCCAATTTCGGAAAATCATTTTATTGCAATCTAATGAAAAGTAGATAAGATGGATTTCTTTTTGAAGGTATTTTAAAGCTTATTTAGCTTTAAGGATGAGATACGTGTTTTTGGCTGTTGCCTGTGTGATTTGAGTAGGTCATAAAACTTTCTTTGCCTCTCATCATTCTCACAAGTTGAATATGAGTAACTAAAAATGAAGAGTATCATGAAAGAAAGCTTCCACAAGTGTGTGATGGTTAATACTGAGTGTGAACTTGATTGGATTGAGGGATTCAAAGTATTAATCCTGGGTAGTGTCTGTTGTGGATGTTGGAAAAAGAGATTAACATTTGAGTCAGTGGGTTGGGGAAGTCAGATACACCCTTAATCTGGTGGGCACAATCTAATCAGCTTCCAGCAAATATAAAGCAAGCAGAAAAATGTGAAAAAGAGAGATAGGCCTAGCCTCCCAGTCTGCATGTTTCTCCCAAGCTGGATGCTTCCTGCCTTCAAACATCGGACTTTAAGTTCGTCAGTTTTGGGAGTTGGACTGGCTTTCATTGCTCCTCAGCTTGCAGACAGTCTATTGTGGGACCTTGTAATCATGTAAGTTAATACTTAATAAACTCCCCTTTATATATATATATGTGTGTATATATATATGTGTGTGTGTATATATATGTGTATATGTATATATATATATCTTATTAGTTCTGTCCCTCTAAGAGAACCGTGACTCATACAAAGTGTTATTGGAAATTCATTACTAAAAATAATGAAATCTGATCTCATAACTTCAGAAAAAGCATAATTGGTCTTGTGAGTCAGGAAATATTTTGAACTTCTCAAAGATGCAGTAGTTGGGGTGAAGTATTTTCAGTGAATTCTTACTTAAAATTTAAGAGGAAAGGTAGTCCTAGCACAATGGCTAATGTTTGTAATCCCAGTACTTTGGGAGGCTTAGTGGAGATGATCATTTGAGGCTAGGAGTTTGAGACCAGCTTGGGCAACAAAGCAAGACAAAAAATAAAAAAATAGAAAAGAATAAAGGTGTTAAATTTAAACTTTCTAAACAATGTTGAGGGGACAATCAGGGTTGTTGGTGGTGATGAGACAATTTTCCAGTTAACAAGACAAATAACTGGTGAGTTTTAAAGTGAGCAAAATGGAAGTGTGGACAATTTTATGCCTGACTTTGAATTTATGTGATTTTTTTTTTTAAAAGAGGATGTTGAAAGGCAAGTAAAAAATATTGTGAAAAAAATGTGACTAAACATTTATAAATTGCCCAAATTGTACATCAGATTAGGATTTTTATTAGATTTTTAAGTTAATGTCAAAGAATGAGTTTTGTTTAGCCTGTGTTTATATCCAGTTAGAAATTATGTGGCTATGATTAGGCTCTGTTTCGGGAGCTTAAGAGAAGAGTACATATCTCACTTGGGATTTAATCTGACTCTACCCAAGAGTTGAACTGGAGAAGTAATGTACACATCCCAGGGGATCCTTATGATGCCCAAATGTCAGGGACTGCTTGGGACAGATCCCACCAGACACACAGCATGTGTGTACTTTCCAAAGTCAGTCACTAGGTTTCATGAAAACTCAAAGCATCTAATATGACCTTGTCAAAATTATGTCTACATGTCCAAGTGGATTTACTGTAAATCGATGTCTAATTACTTTTTGAAAATTATTTATTTACAGAGATTGAATTGTTTTTTTTTTTTCATTTCCTATTATGGTTGGGTAGGGAAGTCTTTGAATTGTACTTTCTGGTGATTAAAGTATAAAACCAGTGATACAGTGCATAAACATTATATTGCTTAAAATATATGAGAATGCCTGAAAAGGAGCTATTAGTACAAAAATGAGATTCCAGTTTGTGCAACAGCTCATGTAAGAGAAGAGATTTGGAGGAAGAAAAAAAAAAAAAAACAAGATTCAAAACGTTGAATTATCAAAACATGGATTTCTCCAAAAGCAGTTATAAAAAAAATAGTTAGACTATCTCCCAGTGATTGAGGTAATCATGATTCTTCACCCACACCTCCACAAATTTCCAACACTTGATGTCACACAATTTCTTAAAATATTTCAAGTTAGAGGGGGCCAGAGACTTCAAGCGACAGCGACACAAGATGGCAGCCACCATGGGCTTGGGAATAAAAATCCTCGCAATTTCTGACTGTTGGAAGAACTTGAAGAAGGCCAGGAAGGGATAGGAGATGACACAGTTAGCTGGGGTCTAGAAGATGAAGAAGACAGGTATGATAATTGGGTCTCCAAGAACAGTTGATGAAAACCGAATATACAGCCTTAAAATAGAATGTGGACTAAATACCCAGAAGCACCCCGCTTTGTAAGATTTGTAAAACAAATTAATATGAATGGAGTTAATAGTTCTAAATGCAGTGCTGGACCCAAGAGCCGTATCAGTGCTAGCAAAGTGGCAGAATTCATATAGCATGAAAGTTGTCCTACAAGAACTTCGGCATCTAATGATGTCTAAAGAAAGTACGAAACTCCCTCAGCCGCCCGAAGGACAGTGTTACAGCAATTAATCAAAAAGAAAAACCACAGGCCTTCCCTTCCCTCCCCATTCAATTTAAGCAGTCTTCATTTTCCACAGTAGTAAATTTTCTAGGTACGTCTTATAGACCTCAAAGTACTGTAAAAAGCAATCTGTTCTGGAATAGTACTGTAAAAGGTACTGTAAAAAGCAATTCCATTCAAAGGAATTTATCTTAAGATACTGTAAATTATACTAATTTTTTGTCCATTTGAAATATATAAGTTGTGCTATAACAACAAAAAAATTTGAAGTTAGAATGGTGGCATTAATTTGTGTATTTGTTAGTAAAAATATATAGAAATTTTTATTTCATATGATTAATGGTGAGTCATTTTTCTATGTAAAAGCATATGATACAAAGATAGATGACATGTTGCATATAATAGCATTATGCATTTTTTCTAATTTTTTTTTTTAGTTTCAGCAAGTGCCTTCAGCAACTTTCAAGTCATATAAGGCAGATTTCTGCACCTAATTAACAGATTTTGAGGCAAGGTTAATATTTTTACAGTTTATTTTTTAACTTTCCAACTAATTAGTGGACCCATCAAAGTTAAAAATACTTTGTAGAACTCTACTGTAGAATAGTACTATTTCAAAATTAAACAAAGTGATGAGCAACAGCTTGTCTACCTCTTTCACTTCTTATTACACAGGATATAATTATAAATTGGTACGTTTCTAAATAAATATTTGTTCACATATGAATGGATGGCTTGTTGAAATTCAAGTGTAAAACAGGCCACCCAAGTGGAGATTTGCAGTTGCTAGTTGGAGGTGTGTGACTAGAGTTTGCGAAATTCACATATAGGTGCTGCTTCAAACCTTGGCTAAGAGTGGGCTCACTAGGAGAAAGGGATTATGGCATGAGATGAGAAGAGAGCTGAAAACAAGAACAGGACTTTGCTAAAAGTTCACATTTAGGAGGAGGTGAAAGAAACAGAAACAACAGGAAACAGGTGGATTCATTAGGAAAGATCAGAGTAACATCTTGTAGTAGAAACCATGGCAAGGAAGAATTTTCAAGGAGAATGAACATTGTTTGCTAGTTTCATACAGGAATTATGAAAACTGATAAAAGGTCATTGAATTCAAAATAAGGAAATGATTAATGACCTTGGAGACAAGCAGTTACAGTAGAGTGGTGAAAACAACAGCGTGATTGGGAAAGTTTAAGAAATGGAGCACATAATGTAGAAGAGATGAGTATGTAGACTAATATTTGGTGAGAGGAAAGGAGAAGGAAGATGGCTGAAAATAGTTAAAATTATATTATTCCAGAGTTGTTAAAAAAGAAGAAAATTAAGTGAACTGAAATTTTTCCTAATAAAATCCTATTTGTCTGTTTTCCCAGCCTAGATTTATCAGATCATTGTTGATTCTTTAATTTCACCATAGAATCAATTTTAAACTACCTCAATTTCTGGTAGCTGAAACATTCAATAATTAATATTTGGATATTGTGACACAGAGAGAACATGAATATTTGTGACAGGTAAGAATGAAAGCAAATATTTTTATATTGTTCTACTTGAGAATGTCCAATGAATAGTTTTATCAGACAAATGAATATTATTTAAAAAGCATTTAATTACCTTCGTAAAATATAAGCAGGAAAGTCAAAGTTCTCATAAAAAGTATGAAAAACAGCTGGACAATTTTTATTTCCACCATTTATTTGTTTAACTTTAGTAAAGACCAGTTTGATTCTTTAGAACAGATTGCTTTTTACACTTTGACTTCTGGCTGTGGGATGGATTATGTTAGTCATAAGAAAGTGTAACTGATCTAATACTTTACACTTATTTTGCTTTCCCCCTAATGCTAATCTAGCTTCTAGGAGGCTGGAAAGAGTATAGGGTTAGAATGTTGGTAGGCAGATCATTTTCTTTAAGATTCCTGGGCTGACTTAAGATCTGGAGAATACTATTCAAGAAAGAAGAGAAAGAAAGGTAAATGGAATTAAATCAGAAGTTTGGGATTCCATATCAATGACATTATTAAATTCTAGAGGAGAGAGTTTATGGAGCTTTGGTTCCATAAATCTCCCCTAGAATTTCATACTTCTACATTCAATACTTCTGCATTGAAGTAACTTGATAGTATGTGCATATACATGTACCATATAAACACTTGGCAGAGATGCTCAAGTGCAGAGCTTTGCACAGGGTGGACAATTTGAATAGATTATGTAGATAGGTCCTGCCGATTCTGAATCTATGATTTGTGCTTGAAAATTATCTTGCTTTCATCCTCAAATTCACTCAATCATTCAGAAAATACTTATTGCCAGCCACTGGACTAAACTCTGGACCTAGGCTCTCAAGGATGAGAAAAGGCCAGGAATAAAGATTTCCTCAGCCTCCTCCCTGGGCCATAATGAGGGAGAAAGTATGGGGATGTCAATTTGAGGGACTAGGTTACATGGCCTGCAAATAAGAAGGGACTTAAGGCAGAGGTTCTTTAGGGACTCCCTGCCTGCCTGTTGGTAAACTGTCTCACAGAAATGAGCATTCTTCTGTCCCCCAACAAGTGTGCAAACATAGTCTGCCTACCCTCTCCAGTCACCCTGACAATGCTCTTCCTGTTGAATGACAGTTCTGAAAAGTGATAATTTATTACTTCAATTAAACTTTTACCGTTTTCTTGCCATTTCGCTAGACAGAAGTGTGGATAGTAGATCCTAAGCACAATTTTCACTTCCTTCTTATACTGGAACATTCCCCAAAGGCATGACTATTATACAGTTCTGATTAAAGCCAAATGCTGCAGTCATAATAAATTAAAGCTTTGTGACTTCATTGTTTGTTTCTGTCATTTACCCTGGGATTATGGAACAAAGCCCACTAAATTCCCTTTTTCATTATCTGAAAAATACCTTTTAGATTTTTCTATAATTCCTTCACCTTGAGATCACTCTGGCCATCTTTTGTGTAAACAATTATGTCTTATAAAAATCTGAATTGTATTCGTTAATTCCTTTATTTATAATCTCAACCATTTTATGTTTGTCACTCTTTCTGCTCTCTTTGGCTTTTTCCCTCTCTTTTCCAAGGGTTATAGGATTACTGACAGGTTGGTTAAAGTTTAGTTCAGGATTCTATGTATCAATATGCTTTATTTACATTTTGTTTTAATTTTCAATTTTTAATTGTTTGTGTACATAGTAGGCACACATATTTATGAAGCGCATGAAACACTCTGATACAGGCACATAATGCACAATAATCACATCAGGGTAAATAGGGAATCCATGAACCCAAGCATCTATCTTTTCCTTGTGTTACAAACGATCTAGTTATACTCTTTCAGTTATTTTAAAATGCACAATAAATTATTGTTGACCATAGTCACCCTGGTTGCATGATCAAATAATAGATCTTATTCACTGACTGTAACTGTATTTTTGTACCCATTAACCATCGCCATCCTCCCTACCCATTACCCTTCCCAGCTTCTGGTAATCATCTCATTCTACTCTATCTCCATGAGTTTAATTGTTTTAATTTTTAGCTCCCACAAATAAGTGAGAACATGTAAGGTTTGTCTTTCTGTGCCTGCCTCATTTCACTTAAAATAATGTCCTCCATTTATATTCGTGTTGTCACAAATGAAAGGATCTCATTGTTTTTATGGCTGAGTAATACCCCATTAGGTATATGTGCCACCTTTTCTTTATCCATTTGTCTGTCAGCGGACACCTAAGTTGCTTCCAAATATTGGCTAATGTGAATAGTGCTGCAATAGACACGGGAGTGCAGTTATCTCTTTGATATATCAATTTTCTTACTTTTGGATATGTACCCAGCAGTGGGGTGGTTGGATCATATATATGTAAGCTCTATTTTTAGTTTCTTTGAGCAAACTCCAAACTGTTCTTTATAGTGGTTATACTAATTGACATTACCACCAAGATTGTACAAGGGTTCCCATTTCTCCATATCTTCACCAGCATTTGTTATTACCTGTCTTTGGATAAAAGTCATTTTAGCCGGGGTGAGATGATACCTCATTGCAGTTTTGATTTGCATTTCTCTGATGACCAAAGATGTTGAGCATCTTTTCATATACCTGTTTGTCATTTGTATGTCTTCTTTTGAGAAACCTCTATTCAAATCTATTGTCTATTTTTGAATTGGATTATTAGACATTTTCTTACAGAGTTGTTTGAGCTACATATATACTCTGGTTATAAATCCCTTGTCAGATGGTGATATGGTTTAGGTCTATGTCCCCACCTAAATTTCATGTTCAGTCATAATTTCCAGTGTTGGAGGTGAAGCCTGGTGGAAGGTGATTCGGTCATGGGGTGATTTCTCATGGTTTAACAACATCCCATTGGAACTGTTGTTGCAATAGTGAATGCTTGTGAGATCTGGTTGTTTAAAAGTGTGTGGCACCTCCCTCACTCTCTCTTGGTCCTGCTTCTATCATGTAAGACCCCTGTTTCTGCTTTTTCTTCTTCCATGAGTAAAGATCCCTGAGGCCTTCCTAGAAGTAGATGCTGCCATGCTTACTGTACTCCTGCCTGTGTATATGTACCATAATTTCTTTATCCATTCACAAGATACAAAACACCACCTGTTCTCTAAAACCTATTGAAATAATAATAATAAAACTACCATATTAAATGTCTAGCAGAGTTATTCCCATGCCAGAATTTTTATGGCTTCAGGTCTTAGATTTAAGTCTCTGACCCATCTTGAGTTGATTTTTTACAATGAGAGAAATGAGGATCCAGTTTCATTCTTCTACATGTGGCTTGCCAATTTTCCCAGCACCATTTGTTGAATAGGGTGTCCTTTCTCCACTTTATGTTTTTGTTTGCTTTGTTGAATATCAGTTGGCTCTAAGTATTTGGTTTTATTTCTGAATTGTCTATTCTGTTCCATTGGTGTATGTGCCTGTTTTTATACCAGTACCATGATGTTTTGGTAACTATAGCCTTATAGTATAGTTTGAAGTCAGGTAATGTGATGCCTCCAGATTTGTTCATTTTACTTAATCTTGCTTTGGCTTTGTGGGCTCTTTTTTCATTTCGTATGGATTTTAGGATTGTTTTTACTAGCTTTGTGAAAAATGATGATGGTATTTTGAGGGGAATTGGATTGAATTTTTATGGATTGCTTTTGGCAATACGGTCATTTTCACAGTACTGATTCTAACCATCCATGAGCATGGGATTTGCTTCCATTTGTTTTTGTTGTCTGATTTCTTTCAGCAATGTTTTGTAGTTTTCCTTGTAGAGATCTTTCACCTTCTTGGTTAGGTATATTCCTAAGTTGTTTTTTTTTTTTTTTTTTTTTTTTTTTTTTTTTGCAGCTGTTGTAAAGAAGGTTGAGTTTCTAATTTGATTTTTAGCCTTTATCACCATTGGTGTATAGCAGTGCTACTTATTTGTGAACATTGATTTTGTATCTTGAAACTTCACTGAATTCATTAATGAGATCTAGAAGCTTTTTGAATGAGTCTTTAGGATTTTCTACGTGTACCATCATATTATTGATGAACAGTGACAGTTTGACTTCCACTTTACTGATTTGGATGCCTTTATATCTTTTCTCTTGTCTGATTACTCTGGCTAGGACTTCCAGTTCTATGTTGAACAGAAGTGGTGAGAGTAGGCATTCTTGTTTTGTTCCAGTTCTCAGAGGGAATGAATTTTTCCTCATTCAATATAATGTTGTCTCTGGGTTCGTCATAGAAGACTTTATTATCTTAAGGTATGTTCCTTCTATGCTGATAGGATTAAAACCCTAAAAGGATGCTGGATTTTGTCAAAAGCTTTTTCTGCATCTATTGAGATGATCATACAAATTTTGTTTTTAAATGCGTTTATATGGTATATCACATTTATTAACTTGTGTATATTAAACCATCCCTGCATCCCTGCTATGAAACCTACTTGATCATGGTGGATTATCTTTTTGATATGCTGTTGGATTTGTTTAGCTGGTATTTTGTTGAGGATTTTTGCATCTGTGTTCATCAAGAATATTGGGCTGTAGTTTTATTTTTTTGTTATGTACTTTCCCAGTTTTGATATTACGGTGAAACTGGTTTCATAGAATGATTTAGGGAGGAGTCTCTTTTCCTCTATCTTTTGGAATAATTTCAGTACAATTGGTACTAATTCTTCTTGGAATGTCTGATAGAATTCAGCTGTGAATCCATCTGGTACTGGGCTTTTTTTTCTTGTCATGTTTTAAATTACTGTTTTAATCTCGCTACTTGTTTATTGATCTGTTCAGAATTTCTATTTCTTCCTTATTTAATCTAGGAGGGTTGTTTATTAACAGGAATTTATCCATCCTCTCTAGATTTTCTAGTTTGTGTGCATAAAGGTGTTCACAGTAGGCTTCAGAATTTCTATTTCTTCCTTATTTAATCTAGGAGGGTTATTTATTAACAGGAATTTATCCATCCTCTCTAGATTTTCTAGTTTGTGTGCATAAAGGTGTTCACAGAATGATCTTTTGGGTTTCAGTTTTAATATCTCTCATTTTGTTTGTAAGTGAGCTTATTTTTATCTTCTCTCTTCTTTTCTTAGTTAATATCACTAATGGTCAATCAATTTTCTTTATATTTTCAAGGAACCAGCTTTTTTGTTTCATTTATCTTTAAATTATTCTCATTTCAATTTCAATTAGTTCTGCGCTGATCTTTTTTTCTTCTGCTGGGTTTGGTTTTGGTTTGTTTTTGTTTGTCTAGTTCTGTTAGGTGTGAGCTTAGATGGTCTATTTGTGCTCTCTCAGATTTTTTGATCTAGGCCTTTAATGTTAGGAACTTTCCTCTTAGCAATGCTTTTGTTGTATCCCAGAGGTTTTTATAGTTTGTGTCACTATTATCATCCAGTTTAAAGAATTTTCTAGATTTCAATCTTGATTTCACTGTTGACTCAAAGATCATTCAGGAGAACATCATTTAATTTTCATGTATTTGTGTAGTTTTGAGGATTCCTTTTAGAGTGAATTTTCAATCTTATTCCACTGTGGTCTCAGAGAGAACTTGATATAGTTTTGATATTTTTAAAATTTATTGAGATTTGTTTTGTAGCCTATCATATAATCTATCTTGGAGAATGTTCTGTGTGCTGACGAAAAAAAAATGTTATTCTGCAGATGTTGAGTAGAATGTTCTGTAAACATCCGTTTAGTTCATTTGTTCCAGGGTATACTTTAAGTCAATTTTTTTTTGTTGACTTTCTGTCTTGATGACCTGTCCAGTGCTGTCAGTGGTGTATTCAATTTCCCCACTATTATTGCTTTGCTGTGTATCTCATTTAAGTCTAGTGTAATTGTTTTATAAATTTGGGAGCTCCTGTGTTAAGTGCATATGTGTTTAGTACTATGATATTTTCATGTTGGACTGATATTTTTATCATTATATAATGCCGCTCTTTGTCTTTTTAAATTTTTGTTGCTTTAAAGTCTGTTTCGTCTGATAGAAGAATAGCTACTCCTGCTCACTTTGGGTTTTCATTTGCATGGAATATCTTTCTTCTACCCCTTTACCTTAAGTTCATATGAGTCCTTATGTGTTAGCTGAGCTGCTTGAAGACAGCAAATAGTTGGTGGTTGGATTTTTGTCCATCCTGCCATTCTGTATTTTTTAAATGGAGCATTTAGGTCACTTACATTCAGTGTTAGTATTGAGAGATGAGATACTGTTTTTTCATCATGCTAATTGTTGCCAGAATACTTTTAATTGTGTTTTTGTTTTATAGGTCATCTGAGATTTATGCTTTAAGAAGGTTCTATTTTGGTGTATCTCAAGGTTTTGTTTCAAGATTTAGAACTCCTTTTAGCATTCCTTATAGTGCTGGCTTGGTAATGGGGAATTGTCTCCACATTTGTTGATCTCAAAAAGACTTTATCTCTCCTTTGTTTATGAAGCTTAGTTTCACTGGATACAAAATTCTTGCCTTATAATTTTTTTTGTTTGTTTGTTTTCTGAGGTTAAAGATAAGACCCCAATCTCTTCTGGCTTGTAGGGTCTCTGCTGAGAAATCCGCTCTTAATCTGACAGGTTTTTTTTTTTTTTTAATTTATAGTTACCTGATGCTTTTGCCTCACAGCTCTTAAGACTCTTTCCTTTTTCTTGACTTTAGATAACTTGATGATCTTGTGCCTAGGTGATGATCTTTTTGTCACAAATTTCCCGGGTGTTCTTTGATCCTCTTGTATTTAGATGTCTAGCTCTCTAGC